TAAGTTCACAGGAGTATGTAACCACATCAGACCAATCTAGCTCAACTTTTATGTAACAGAGTTGTGAGTTGTTTCTCAGTTGCCAACCTGGATCCCCAGGTTGAAGGTCAGGTAACCTGAGCATGCCCAGGTGAATCAAGTGTGCAACCACAGGTGGAACTGAAGTGTTCAGACAGAGGAGTGGGAAAATGAATTAAGAAGCAGACACAGACTGCATGGCATGTTCTAGGATTCAATCAGATCAAGCTCTGGCGTCACCCCCATGGCAGGAATTAAGTCTCCCAGCATCACATCATTGCAAGAGCCAATCAAATTATGCCTCATTACCCCATGCTTATAAAACCTGACCCAGTCCCAGCTTGGGGAGACAGATTTGAGCATTTCCTCCTGTCTCCTTGCCAGTCAACTCTCAATAAAGAATTTTTTTCAAAAGCTGGTGCCACAGTATTGTGTATGTGCACTGGACAGCGAGCCTATTGATTGCTCAGTAACAGGTACGCAGGCTAGATTTTTTTTTTTCCCCTAAATAAACTGGTCTCTATTATTACTTATTACATATGAATGTTGCTTATCATTCCCAACTACTCATTACCTATACACATATAGTATCTATTTAAATATGTATATGTGTGCACACACATTCATTTTTGGAAAATTATTAAAGACTTTTATTCTTTTATTTAAAATAAACTTAACACCCACTGAAAAGTGGACAAAAGCCCTCTAATAAAATCTTAAAATATGTGTGTACGTATAGTCAACTTTATTTCTGAATACTGTACAAATAAATTCTTTTCCAGTTTAAAAATCTACAGTGGCCATCCAGTTACAAATTGAAACAGAAGAGAAGATATAGACTGATTGTCATTTGGGCCATGCTTTAATTACTGTTTCTACATGCACTGACTTGCCCACCTTTTTTTTTTTTTCTGAGAAGGCCAAAACATCCCTGAAGATCTATTGCTATTTTTATAGCAATGTGTTTTATTTTTATGGAAAAACCTGAAAAGCAAAGAAAGTCCACAAAAGAACAGTCATAGCAAACCAGAGACAATGCATTTTTTCTCATTTATTCAAATTCACTGCAGGAAGTAAACACTAAAAGATTAAAAAACAAAACAAAAAAATTCACACTGCAGTATGTACAATTTCATGACATCACATGAAGAAATTAAATTTCTAATAAAAATGACAAATTATATTACTGAGCAGATTGCATCAAAATTGGTTGTGTAAACCCCAGAATTCTTATTATGAATGGTAATGTGCTTGTATTCCAGTATTTGCTAATACTAGAATACTTCTGGTATGTTTCCAGTGGGATTAAAAAATTCATGAAAGTAGTTGTGTAAATTCTTTATGTTGAAAAGTGGTTGACTTGATTTAAAAAAAAAGAAAGAAAAAATTTAAGACTCTTGGATTCAAAGCATTCTTCCACAAAGCTTAAACCACAGAAGTCATGTCCAGAAATGGAAAACTGTCATGTTGGGATGAACATCTGATCTGATTTGTTAAGACATTTTGCCAAATGCACAGATGCACAGGGTCCCCCATGCACTTTTCATGCAGCAGGTAATCACAACTTAAATAAAAGGTTATTCTATACATTTGTCCAGACTTGCAACTGTATACATACATGCACAATTTTTAAACCTGTGTGATTATATTTACACTTATACATGGAATATACAGGAACCAAAGAGATTAAAAGGCTTTTCTGTTGCATTAGAACAATACAAAATATGTATTTTTCATTAAGGAAATCACTATTTACATCGCCTTTAAAAACCGATTTTAACATCTTCATGTAACAAGTCAATATATATATATATACATTTTATATATATATATATAAAATATATTCTCTCACCAGTTTACTCTTCTGTAAGATGCAGCAGAGAATAAACAGGTAACGAATGCTACCTTACTGATGCCAATGACAGCTGTAGTACCCTTTCACAAATGACTTCATCAGGAAGAAATTGTCTAGATTATCTAAAATAGTCCTTGAAAATGTGTATATGTGCATCCTTGTATCTACATATGCATAAACAAAGTGAATCTGTGGATGTATGCCCTTTCTCACTGTTATTCTTTGAAATCACCCTAAACTCAAATTGGGGGCATTCTCTAGTAAATCAGAACCGCATTCTTTGTGGTCACATTTATTTAAGTTTAACATATTCTCATTTCCTTAACTGTTAACAACAAAAACAACCAACCAAAAAACAAACAAAAAAACAGTAATGCTGGCCCATCATGTTCTTTTCCCTGACCTAAATTTCACTCCCTTGTAAAAAGGCCATTTCCTCCTAACCAATGGAGAATACCCACACTTTTTTCTGACATACCTCTAAGGCTCCAGACCTTTCACAATGACCAAGAAAAATGACTTAAAAGCTTACTTACATAGTGTTGACAATAAGATCGTCACATTATGGACATGGAGTAGAACATATTCACTGGCCAGTGGAATTTCATGTCTGAATAAGCATATGCCTTCACCTCTCCATGATCTAGCACAATATGCACTCCTGTTATTGTATAATATTTCCAGTAA